AAATTTCAACGCCATTTCATGTTAAGCAAATTAGTTTCGGAGATGAATGCTACGACGTGAAATCGGTCCTAGAGATGAATAAATATGAGGCTGAAGAATTAGATGAACAGAGGTTTGTGCAATCAGCGGAGTTGCTCATATCATCCTAGCTAGCTACCTAGTTTTAATAAGTTCAGAAGTTGTTTATGCTGTTAGAGTTTCTATTCATGAACTCTGTCTGCAATTTTCATTTTAGATTATGAAGAGATTCTTTTGAATCTAATATAATGATGTTGCAATCGAGATAGGACCACAATTGGTATGGTGCAATAATGCAAATTTGATGTGTTCGAATCAATCTAATATCAGAAGGAAAAGCAAAATCAAAACATGATAAGATATATTGGGTTGAGAGAATGTATTACGTGAGATGTGGTTCATCCTGGCTCTAAAGTTCTGAACTCAATTTCAAAATTGACGTTTTATCAGCATTTTACAATTGAATGCTGTAATTCATCAAAGTATTGGTAGCTTCGACATGACGATGCTAATAGAGTTGTGATTCAGGCTAGTAATCCATGTCATCCATATCTGGCATCCGGCTGGGAGGTTTTTTCTCGTTTGGATTGTCCAGGATAGCTGCCTCTGTTGTTGTCAACAGCAATGAAATGCTGCAATTAAGATGTGAATGCTTTAGTTTTCACATATATAACAATATTGCGTTGCGCACAAGTTCATACAATGAGAGAAAGCAATCTTCACCTGGCAGCATCCACTAAGGCAGTTCTAACAACTTTAAGAGGGTCTATGATTCCAGATTTCACCATGTCTACATATGTACCTGCGTTAGCATGAGACATGAAATTCTTAGAACAGACTAAAGAGATATGTATATTCCTGTTGCAAATACCTAAGAATGGCAGGAAATGTTTTCAGCAAAATAATAATGAGAGAGAGACTTCCATAAGCCAGTTGACCATTATCATAAAATCTGAAGGAACGAACCTTTGGAAGCATCAAAACCGAAATTAGGATCATCTTGTTCCAGTAATTTCCCAACGATTAGAGAGCCATCAAAGCCAGCATTTGAAGCTATAATGAAAGTAGGTGCCTAAATTAAGTGAATAAGTATTTTGTCAGGCACTATATAGATTTGCTATTGGAGAGAGATAGGGTTTTGCCATAAGGATGTGCAACAAAAAAAAAACCTTAAGTGCATTTTGAATTATCTGGACGCCTCTTTTCTGATCTTCATTATGAGTTTGAATGTTCTCCAGAGCCTTTGTAGCGTACAAAAGAGCAACTCCACCACCTAATACAAACCAAATTATTCTGCTTGTATCAAGGAGATAGACATCTTAAAACTACTAATGGAAAATCTTCAGCTTACCTGGCACAATACCCTCTTCAACAGCTGCTCTTGTAGCATTCAGAGCATCTATAACCCTATCTTTCCTTTCTCCAACTTCAGACTCACTTGCTCCCCCAACCTGGTAGAAAATGAACACTACTTGCCTATGAGGGCCTAGAATATGTAAGCCTTGGAGGAATTTGGAAACATGAATGACCTACCTTGAAAACAGCTACACCACCAGACAGTTTTGATAACCGTTCTTGTGCTTTCTCCCTGTCAAATGTGGCAGTACTATTCTCCATCACTGTCCTCAGCTGTACAAAATTTTAGTCTATAGTTGTCAAAAGAGAACATCTTTCTCCTCTAAAATCTTTTTTTTTCCAACAATTTTCTTATTTGATCAATCAGAATTAATAAAACCAACATTGTTATATCTTGTTTACTATAAATACATTATCTCACATATTTTAAAGTTGTTAGTACACGGGACTTTCTCTCCCCACATTGCAGCTCCATTGATCCAAAGGTAAAATGAAATTTCATTAACTTCCTCAAGAGTTTCTATTAGCTTTCTTTGACGCTCATTGGTTGTTTACTGTGTTACAGTTCTTTCTTCCATTACATTTGATTGCCTGGATTGATTTGCATTTTTCTGCCTCTTTCAACCTCTTTCAAGCACATATGCGGCCACTTCAAAAACACACACTAAATGAATGCAGTAATTAACAGTACATCTAGCTCACTAAGATAATGAATTTTCTTTCTTTGCATTTTGGAATATCAGAATTCAAAATTAGCATATTTGATTTCTTTTCTTTCTCCAAAATTAAATCTCTAAGATTGACAAATGACAACTAGGAAAATAATTAATGTTAGACTGAATAATAAAAAATGAAATATAAAAACAATCTGAAAAGACAAATATCAAATGACATGACACAATGGTTCATTACTATACCTGCTCGCATCTTTCTTCAATCAGCTTCTTGTCCCCTCCACCATGTAGAATTATTGTGTCGTCAAGAGAGACAGTGACCTGAAACAAATTAGATCAATTATGCACTTATGCTGTAAAACACACACACACACACACACACACACACACAGAGTGGGCATGCTGTAAAGATATATATACCTTTTTTGCAGTGCCAAGCATTTCGACTTTGACTTTGTTAAGAGTTAGACCACGATCCTCACTGATAACCTGCACCTTAAATGGTTAATTTGTACTGTTATAAACATAAAAAGACATAACTTCGTAGATTATATCACCTCTCCACCAGTAAGAATGGCAAGATCATCCAAGTTTGCTCTTCTGTTGTCCCCAAAACCAGGAGCTTTAACTGCACAGACCTAAATACACAAATTCCACCAATAAAAGGGTGACACAAGTAGAATCCATCCCAAAATGTTGCTTAAAATGAGAAGATAAAAGAAAATCAATCATCTAAGCAAGATGAGTACTGTTATCTCTAAAGATTGCAAACTATCTGTAGTTATATTGAAAGTCTGAGGCATCCATATATTGGAATCATGAGGGTGGCCAAGTATCAGAAGACAGCCTTGAAATTCTCAGATAATAAACCAATTTCAACCAACATTATATGATTCTTAGATCTGTCAAAAATCCATAAATGTATGCCCATGGATTTCACGCATTTGAACATGTAGTAGTATTTCAAGATTTTCAAATTTTACATTAAAAGAATGACATCTTGTAATATCTGATAAATGATGTTGGCTGGTAAAGGCCATTCCAAGCAAAGTCAACCAGTCACCTTTAAACCAGCATGATGCTTGTTGAGAATAAGCACGGCAAGTGCATCACTCTCCACATCCTCAGAGACAACAAGAAGTGGTCTGTTTTTCTGTTCAAAATCAGAAAGAGAAGCAAAAATAAGTTCTAGAATTGACCTGAATATTCACTTGCATTCCACATGAAAAAGAATCCATCGGAGAATTACATTCACAGCAAGCTCCAATATTCTCACAAGTGAGTTCATGTCTGAAATTTTCTTGTCATGAATGAGAATCAGAGGATTCTCAAGTTCCTGCAACATGAAAAATGAACCTCTTCATTTGATACATTCTTAGCATATGAAATTATTAAATCAGATAAAATGCTTCTACATGCAAGACACAAATAACACAGGCAATGAAAAAAAAAAAAAATTCAAAATGGTAGATCAATCACTACTCTAGGCATTCATAAAGTTGGACTTGCACTGAGGCATAGACATTAAACATCACTAAGTAGTATACCTTGGAAGATATAGAGCACATTAGAGAGAAAATGGTCTGCCATTGCTGGCACAGGGATACAGATCTGAACTTACACATTTCTGGGTCTTCTGATCAGTAACAAAATAAGGAGAAATATAACCTCTGGCAAGCTTCATTCCTTCAACCACTTCCAGCTCATTTTCCAAAGTATTCCCATCCTAAAAATTTTCCATAAGACACGTCATATGATGAATGATCTATTCCATAGGGATCATAATATGCAGCAAGCAGAAAATGTGCACACCGTGACAGTAATAACTCCTTCCTTTCCAACTTTCTCCATTGCCCTTGCTAACAGTTCTCCAATCTCACGTTCACCATTTGCAGAAATAGTAGCAACCTATTTAAAACATATAAAGATATGCAGATAAATATCCATAAAAAGGCAGAGAAAATAAAGTAGCAGAAGCTGCAGAACCATTGTCATTCATAGTCAAAGCAAGCACAGTTAATAGAGAAGTGATCGGTCGCTTTATATGAGAGCCCATACAATATTCAGCATATTGAGAAAGATCCAGCTGCTCTCATAGAGACGTTTGTTACAACCCAGGAAATTTAACCATAAAAAGTTCTCACAGTAAACTTATGAGAGTTGTTTCTTCTTCAAAATAGTTGTCATAGTATCAATTATCAACCCTCCACATATCAGAGAGAATTTCACATCCTAGTTCAATATTCAATGCCAACATAACTTTTCCAGAGAAAATAGCTTCTCTGAGAAGCCTTATTACCTGCATAATTTCTTCCGGGGTGCATATCATAACTGCTCTGTTTTTCAAGTCAGATATGACAGCATCAACTGCCATATTAATACCACTACGGAGGTCCATCACATTTACACCAGCAGCCACTGATTTGCAGCCTTCTGTGAGAATCGCCTGAGTCAAGACAGTCGCACAAGTTGTGCCTGTAATAACACATTAATAGCATGAAGATTTTTTTGATATCATTCTGAAGCAAAATATATTCTTTAGAGATTCTATCCCAACGATAAAATTGTCTCCATTGTTGATTCATCTATCATCATATACAAATATGACAGTTTTGATTTCAAAATACTGATTTATTTTATTATTCACGCACAACCAAGATTTTTTGGTTGTAAACTAATTATAAAAGGCACTTGTGCTAAAAAATTCCAGATAGATTCTTTGAAGTTTAAACCCAGAATTAAAACCAATAATGAAATCTTTATGGGGTTGTCTGAGTAGAAAACAGTATCTTCTCTCATGCCCACCCTTCCCCCCTCAAAAGAAGTATAGTAGTTTCAGCATCCAAAGAGAAAATTATCATCACAAAAAGCATTGATCTCTATCTGCAGCATGTATAAAATTCCATGACAAATCATTTAGAACATTTATATAAGATTGCCAAAAACAAGAAGAATTTACCATCTCCAGCTGCTTTATTTGTGGTGGTTGCAACTTGCTTTACAAGATCTGCACCAACATTTTTAGCCTTATCCTCAAATTTGATGCTTTTGGCAACGGTAACACCATCCTTTGTGACCTTGGGATTGCCTCGACTTTTTTCAATAATTACATTGCGTCCCTGAATAAACAAACCATATTAAAGAAGCAAAGGAAAAAGATGTAAGAAATTTAAAGGCTTTTACAGCAGCCATTGCGTTCAAGCAGTGGTAAAAAAATCCAACTTCTATGCAATACAAAAAACTTCTCCACTTTTTCTCAGTATTTCACACATCCTTAAAACAAATACAAGCTTCATGTGCCTTGTGAACAACTACTACCATACAGCTCAAACTGTGTATAAACATCATCCTGGGAAGAGAATATGGTAACCAAAAATGAGAGTTTTACATGAAATGTAGACTTTTTAAAAAAATTAACAGAATAGTTTGCCCATCATGTTTTAAAAATACATGCTTCCATTAAAGAAGTTCACCAAATACACTCACGGTACTATAAGTCTTTACATATAAAAAAATTTTGGCCATAAGTCAAGAATAAAGTCCATTACCCTCGGTCCCATTGTGACTTTCACAGCTTCTGCAACCTCAGATACACCCTGCAGCATGGCTGCCCGTGCCCCAATGCCAAAATTGATATCCTTTGCCACATAATTTCTATTGCATATTACTCTACTAGATACCTATCCAAATCAAATAAAAAAACAACCAAATAAAAATGTCAAGGCTGGTGGTCGAAATAAAACCAATAATTCAATATCTATAGAGCAAGAGAAACATTTAAACAAAAAAAATTGAATAATTCATGACACAATTCTAATACTCTAATCCAGCAGCTGAGATAACGCAGAAAAAAAAAAAAAACCGGAAACAATATTTTGAGCTTTAATTTTTTGATGATTTGCAAGAATAATGTGTATAATTACTGAGTTAAAACAACTCACCAGATTTTTTGAGGCGGATGATCTGAAAATATTGGTATTGGTATTAAAGAGAAATAAAGAAGAAGAAAATTTATTAGCAATTATACAGAGGAAAGCATATATTCAACTATGATGCAGATGGATCGAATGCAATCCAGAACATCAAATACCTGACTGAAGAAGCTAACTTTGAAACTACCCGGTACATGGTTGTGAGTCTGTACAATGGGGAAGGCAGAAAGAATTTTGGATTGAGGGAACAAGGAGGAGGGTAACCCAGAAGTAGGGTTTTAGCCGGGGTTTTGCAGTTTTGAAGGGGGGAAGGGAAGACTCAGGAAACCAAATCTCAGTGTTGTCTCGTGGGTAATAGCCCAATGGGTCTGTTTGGGGTTTTGGGATCCTAATGTTTGTAACGAAACGAATGGGCTTAGAGTCCAAATTTTGAAGCGCACGTTTTCCTTTGTCTTAATTTCCTTCTCCTAAAATATCAAAACTTCATTTTCATTACACATCCAATCATTTATTACCTAATGCTTTGTACAGATAATCATTAGGTATATAGCATTAATTTTAAATTATCTGGCTCTGTGGGCCAACTCGCTAATAATCAGTTTTTTCTGTTTTATGTTGGTTGGACAATGAAAAGTAACTCTCTTCCATCCCTTATCACACTCCACCCCTACATCATGCAACTCAAATTCAAAATATCTTACTTTCAACAAAAAAAAATCATTATTAAATTATTTAAATCGTTAGCATTAATCAATTTTAAAAGATGCATTTCTATTAGTATGATACTAATTTAAATCATTACATTCCCTTAAATTTATACTCGTTAAAAAGAAATTTGAAAAACAATTATTGTAAAAGAAATTGCAAAAACTAGTCATGTGTTTTA